TATCTTAAGCGATTTCGATAAAAATTTCGATAATAATTGAGTAAATTTTAGCGTGTACTAAGCGCACTTACATATTACGTTTTATTACAAAAATATCCCTTACAAATCTGCAGCGGAAGTAGGGCAAGTATTTACCTTTCTCGAAAAAAAACCCGGAGTGTACAATAATTTGCCGCGGATTTCGAGAATATTAATTTTCAGATTTTTCTTGCCACCCACTCATACCTGAACTCTGCTTTTCTAATAATCCCTGCTTTCTTGTGTATTTACTGTAGCGCCAGTCTAGAACAAAGCAACTGACGGCTGTTTGCAACATTGCGTTGCTTACTTTTTTACGCTGATTACCTATTACTTACATATGTATATCGCTTCTTAAGCCATATGGGCTGCTATGGTGTAAATTATGTGCATTTCTCTTGAAATTTAATCTCATGAATATTCTTTCACATTCTGTTTAATTTTCATAACATTTACCTTTTCCGCGTAAAATAATGATTCAGTTGTTTTAATAAAGAAGGATAATGCATGATTTGACTTTGTGGAAAATGAAGCCATATATGTATGTATTGAGAAATTTAATGCTACTCACATGTACATAGATATATATCGTTACCTTAATTCGCAAAGGCCCTTTCAAATTTTTAGTGAAGGTGTATTATAATAAAGCCTACCAGAATCTGTGAAAAACGCAGTTACTTCTTAAATTTTTTACGTCTGAAGTAAGGCTTGATTGCATGAAATTCAAATTGCTGTACAGAGATTATGTTTATTCTTATTCTAATTTCTCGAAGTCGTGTTTTTCGTCAGTTCGGTTGATAAAGAAATATGAAAAAAAAAAACGAAAGTTTACTTGCATTCAGCGAGAAGAGTATTCATGTATAATTTTGCATAAGCAGCATCTTAAAGCTACATTTACCTACTTTCGTACAAACGTCAAAAAATTACATAAATATGTACCGAAAAGGTTACCATCTCATTGCCCTCTTCGCACAAAAACTAAAGAGAAGGCAACGAAAGGCAATATTTTTTGTAGAACAGAAAACGCTATTAGTAATTTCTTCCTATTTGCATGCTTCCTAAAGTTTTCTTTGGTCTCCTGCTTTTAGTTCCTGATTCTCTTCCTTTTAGACCACTTTTATTTTCTTTTTTGATATTATACTATAATTCCATTTCTCTCTTCTCAACCTCCATTTGGCATGCAACATTGCACACAGAACTACTGCATGCCAGCACGATTTATGAATGTCGCATGAAAGCGAAATAATGCAGCATAATAAAAAACGGGAATGTAGGAATACATGTATGTTTGCAAAAAGGTGTGTAGAGATGATAGTAGTTTTGTATGTTTCTAGAAATTTTTTATAGCTTTAATGGTTGCTTTTGTTCTAAAGTATTACGCTACTGCTAGTAAATGAGAAGCATTGATATGACTACATACATACATAGTTACTGTGCGATGGATTGCAGCGAAGTAAGAAATTGATACGAATTGTCAAGGGCAAAATATAAAGAACTTAAAGAAATTAAGTATTGGATTAGTACATTTCAGATTTCATGGTATTTAACAGAAGGACACACTTAGACAACAAAAATTGAGAAGAAGTGAGAAAAATGCTATAGCCGCTGCACTAGTGAGAATAATAGAACTCTCGATGAACTATTTAGTAATGGAATAGAAAGGGAAAATGCAAGAAATTTTCATCGAAATTTTAAATTTTTCCATTCGATTTCTTTGAAAAATTTTGACAATGCAGTTTTGTAGCCGAGTAAATTTTAATTTCAAATTTCTAAACTTTAGCGTTGATTTTTGATATTTTTTTGCCGAGGTTTTTTTTGCATTTTGCCGAGTTTTATACGAAATTTAAAAAAAAAATATTCTTTTGGTTTTTGCTGCACTCGCTGAACTATTTGTAAGCGCAGAAAATTTTTAGTCAACGGAATTGAACGGGAAAATGCAAGAAATTTTCATCGAAATTTAAAATTTTCCAATTCGATTTATCAGAAAAATTTCGAGTGTGGAATTTTGTAACCGATTAAATTTTAATATCAAGTCGCTAAAATTTAGCGTTGATTTTTAAGATTTTTTGAAGAGGGTGTTTTTTCATTTTGACGAGTTTTGTACGAAATTACAAAAAATTAATTCCTTTGGTTTTTGCTGCACTCGGTGAACTATTGATAAGCGCAGAAGATGTTTCGTCAACGGAATTGAACGGGGGAATGCAAGAAATTTTCATCAAAATTAACAGTTTTTCAATTCGATTTCTTAGAATAATTTTGAATATGCAGTTTTGTAGCCGAGTAAATTTTAATTTAAAGGCGCTAAAATTTATCGTTGATTTTTCAGATTTTTTTCCGAAGGGTGAAAGATGGAAGAAATCAAATTGAAAAATTTAAAAATTTCGATGATAATTACACGCTACTTCTTTTTTTCCGAGTTCTGTACGATTAAACTATATTTTTAATATAAAATATGAGAAAAATTTGGTATGCAAAATTTAAATAAATGAAATTTTTTACGCTCACTGTACATATGTAAATGTGCTTGATTCCACCCGAATATATTGGCACAAAAATTACACTTTCTCTAACATTGCATTTTAATTTCAGTGGTTACCCATTTTTGCGCTCACTATCTGCTATGAATTACTTTATTTAACTTATAGGTTCTCATTTTCTTTTCAATTTCAATTTCACTTCCATATTTTGCATTTATGTTTACATTCAAATGCGTTATTTTAGAGTTGCATCATAAAGTTTGCTTTACACTCCCACACATTTTGTTAAGCAAAAGGAAAACGCAAATAAAAACAATGAATACAATTTCGAGAAGCATACTTTATGGCGCGCGCCGCATGGTCGATAAAACGAGGTCCGTGTATTCCTTTAGTTGTAGTGCTACATCAATGGGTCTACCAACATAAATGTGTATGTGACTATGGAAATATTTCTCTCTCTCTCTCCCTGTTTATCAATTTCGAAGCGAAGGTATGCTATGTTATAAAAAACTGCCAATTTTGTAGCTTAAATTTATCTCCTTTTCAGAGTTTCATTCGTTATAATTCGAATATATTTTCGTTAAGGTATGGAGTGGAATAATTTTTTCATGATATATTGTTCTTACATATTTATTAATATTTTCTTAAATTTCGCAGCGCAGTAAAGCATTTAAATTTTTTGTTTGAAAATACTTTGAAATTACGGATGTTCGATACGATTTTTTTATGAAGATTTTTTATGCGGGTTTCATTGAAATTTCATGCCGACTAAAGAAGGGTGTGGTGATTGCAGCAAATATTTCAAGTATTTATTAGTATATAAAATAGCAACGGTCTGCCTTTATTACATATGCTACTTACTTGCTTTCCGTTTTACTTTACATTCGTTAATTTGTTTCTTAGCCTTGCGGTAGTAGGTGCGAAAAACCTTAGTTGAATGCAATAAAGTATTCATACATTTTTTTATGTTCATTTACTGAGCTGCCTGTATTTTAGATTTCCTTAGTGTTTTTTGCGTGTATCTGCTCACATTTTTATCATTTTCACACACGGCCCCCACAATTATATTAAAGCTTTATTAAAGCAGCTCTTAGTGAATAAATTTTTATCAATTTTCTATTAAGATGCAGTATTTAAATCAAAATACTTTTTGAAATAGAATACACAAGGCGTCATAAATTTGAAAACTTATGCAATTTTTGTATAGAAAATTGCATGCTTGAAGTTTAAGAACTCGCGTTGATTTTTGCCGCCGTCTTTTGCGGTTTGTTTCATATAACAAATGCAATTTATAAAAAACTGGAGTTGATTTTTCAAAATTGTTTTTGCAAACGTTCTAGCGAATTTTCTTTGCATTTTCATGATAACCAGGCGGATGTGAACAGCCACATTGCTAATATTAAAAAAAAAAAAACAAGTGAACGCTGTTTAGAGCCACTGTATGTCGGAACTTGCATATTTAGCTACTTTCATCTATGTAAAATTACAACCCAACTGAATAACCAAAGAATATTATATTTTGTTCATTAAACAATCACACAAATGACCAACAAACTATGTGCGCCCTGGCGTATGAGTAACATTTATATGCTTAACCAGGGTTTGAAAATGCTGTAATATTTTTATTTAATTTGCTTTTGCTGTGCTTTGACTTCGGCATGTATGATATCGAAAGCAAAGCAAAAGCAATTCAGAAAAAAGCAAATGCTTTGGCTGCCGTTTTGCTATGAAATTTCGAAAGCAAATTGTGGAAGCACAAAGACAGCGCAGCAGCAGCAAATCAACAGCAATTTGATTATAAATTTGCTGCGAAGCATCGAATTGGCAGAAATAGAGGATATTATATGTATGCGTGCGCAAATCCACTAGTCGCTTACCCTGATAAGCTTTGCACTGATGGCGGAGTTAATATGTACTTAGATAATATACCACGCTGCAAAAGCGTCATGTGCACAACACAGCCAAGCAGATAACAGCACAGCAAAAGCACTATCACAGCAAATCGAAAGCAATAAAATTGTTTAAATAAACTGCCGATAAAAAAAAAAAATAAACTTTTCAAAGTTACAGCAAAATCAAAGCAGTTCGAACCGAAATCGAAAATTTCAAAGCTAAGCAAAAGCAAAAATAGTAATGCCGTTGCTGCTTTGCTGACAGTTTTTCAAACCCTGTGCTTAACTTAATTCATTTTGTGTAACATAAAAGCATTAGAATGCTAGTTAAAATGCAATGTAAATTAACTCGGCAAAGCATCTAGAAAAATTTATAGCCGCCAACATTTAATTGCTATTAACTAAAGCAGCATAAAGCTCACACTCAGTACCCCATAAATCCCAAAAAAAAAACTCAAGTATTTATGTAATCGAACTCCAACACTTATAAAGCAGTTAATATGCGTTCCAGTATTGACTTAACAAATTTTGGCGATATCTTTGAAATGGATAATTAAGTAATCAAATTCAACACATCTTTGTACACAAATATACATATCTGAAATTTTATTACTCACCTACGTTTTCTTAAAGCTCTGCGCTTCCTTCTCAACTTTTTATATGTAAATGTGCTCGGCGAAATTGTGTAATCCTCATCGAATTCCATTTCGATTTTGATTAGATTTTGTAAATTTAACTGGCAGTCCTGAAAAATAAAAATAAAATCATATACATACATTTTTTATAAAGAAATTGATAACGAAATTCTTTGTCAATTTTATTAAACATTCACTGCTGTATTTATTTCATTTTTTTGTGGCAGAACATCAAATCGTATTGACTTAAAATCAGTGACATTTATAACTAAAACCGGATAACGTTTAATACTTCATGGCGAAACTCATACTCAATAAATTTCGCAATTTAAAAGCGGATTTTATGCGATTGGCAACTAGTTTTATGTATGTATTTACATTATGGTGGTCCATAATTGGCTTTCCAGTCACTCCTAGAACTCTAGAAATATCCAATATTATTTTTAAGTTGGTTGACATTTAGTGATGTCGCCAGAGCTTTGAAGTGAGCCAAATATCGACGGCTGAGTGGAAGATCGACCTATCTCGGCTCGAAACTACATACTCAAAAAAAAAAAAAAAATCTGAAAAATATGCAATTTTACAATTTAAAAAATGAGCACTTAAAAGATTTCCTAGTTAACTCTTGTCAATAATCTTAAATTCCTCGTTCGAAAATCCAGAAGAAAAGATCAAAAAAGTCAAACTTTTTTTGGAGCTAGCTAGCCTAGTTAATTTTTTTTCGAGTGTTGATTTTTGAACAAATTTGTTTTTGAGTTTTATATAATGATTATATATTGGCATAGTTTTTTCTTTGGTGGCCATTATGTCAGCTTTCGAACACATATTTTCATCTTACGCCTATCGAGAGATTTACGATTGCTTTCATCGACACTCCCAAATCATACACTGTGCGCCGGCGAGCATCATTAAATTTCAAAAAAAAAAAAAATACACGTTTCTTTTTCCTTTTTTAATAATTCTTCGCGGTTCCAATTTTTAGAGTTGTTATGATTAATTTTAAGTTTATCTCAAAAAATTTTTATATTGGGTAAAATTTACAGCTCAATACAAATCAGAAATTATGAACAACCCTTATAGGTACGCATGTGTGTTTGCTTGTTTCACTCAGCACATGAAGTGTACAGATAGAGAGCGCAATCGATTTTATGTCAGTCTAAAAGCGCAAGTGCGCTAAAACAACAAATCAAACAAATGCTTCAACAACAGCACCATCAAAAACAACATTGTCGTCGCTAACTAACATAATCGTAGTCAGCCCAACTCCATCCCGCAAACCAGAGACCACACAAAAACCAGCTTTGATGATGCTGCTTGTATTGTTGCTGATTTTGCTGATTTATGCGCGAACAAGTATAGATGTATATAAATCTTTACGAATACAAACTCACGCGCCAACTCATACATACACATGTACGTAAATATGTAGTTGCGCTCATGCATACATAAACTGATAGCCTTTCAATTCACTGTGTGAATTTGTGGCATGACCTCGTCAATTTCTATCTGTGTGTGCATATGCGTGCGTGCGTACATGTGTACTTATGTTTGAGGTTGTTGCGTTTATTCAGCGACCTGTACATTATTGCATTTCTAATTTCGCCACACAGCCTTTGAAGTCAGTCTTTTGAAAATGTTGAAATGAAAATGCGATTTCAGCAGAAATAGAGCGCGTTGGCGGAAGTCAGTAGGGGGAATTGTGGTAATTCAACTAAAGCTAGTGGGTGTCAGTCAATGGTGTGGGCACTACGCGTGCGTATATAGTGTTGCATATGTTGTGGGTGTTAGATTAAATTTTAATTATTATTATGCTGCAAATTCGCAGATATTTACTGAAATTTTTTTGAGCTAAATATTTTAGCCATTGCGGATAGATTAGTGTGGGATAATTATGGAATTTGTTGTCAAGTTTGGCATGTCGTATGAGTAATCTAGGTAAATTATGTAGTTTGATTGATGGCGAAACTTTGTGAAAATTCCACAACTGAATTTTTATGTTAAATTACATGTGTATTTTAATCAAACGAACGTTTAAGATCTCGAATTAAGCATACATAAAATTTTCAATACTTTTAACTGCACATACATTTTTTGTTATTTGAAAACAAGACATAAATTTTTGGTGCATTGCAATCTGTTTATAGAAATTTTTTGGGCTTTTTCCAAAACTGAACATAAATTTTTAGTCTTTTAAAAACTGGACATAAGTTTCAAACATAATAAAAAGAAAAAAATTGTTTTTCATTTCAAAACTGGTTATAAATTATCCATTGGAATTTAAAAAACTCGTTTTTTTTTAATTTTTGGCACGTTAATACTGGACGGTAATCTATGGAATTTAAGAAATTATATAATTTTAGTATTTCACAACCAGAACATAATTTTTTGATAATTTAAAACCAAGACATACATTTTTGGTGTCCGAAAAACTGGTTATAGAAAAGCTTTTTGTGAAACTGGACATATATTTTTGGTTAGTTAACAAGTGGACATAAATTATATTAACCTAAAACTTGTCAAAAAAATTAGAAATACATACATTTTTTGCCTTTTAAAAACTGGTAAGACAAGAACATTTTAACTGGACATACATTTTAGATAATTTAAAATGTGAACATTATTTATTCTTAGGCATTCAAAAAATATTCTTTATTTTTTTTTGAAAAGTCAACATAAATTTTTGGAAGTATTAAAATTGGAAAGACGAAAATATTTGGTAATTTGAAAAATAATTCAGTTTTTAGCTATTCAAAAACAGGACATAAATGTGTAGCCAAACTGGCAATAGAAAAATGTTTGTTCATTTACTACTAAATATATTACTCCGCTCATTTAAAAGGTAAAAATATCTTTGTTTTGAAACTAAAATTTGTATTTTCAAAATTTGTCATCCATTCATGGTCATTTAAAAAGTGCATATAAATTTTAGTCACTCAAATGCCGGACAAAAGTTTTTGTTTTTATAAAAACTAGATATAAATGTCTGGTATTGTGAAAATTTTTTGGACATAAATTTTAGTAACAAAAAAAAAAACTTTTTAATATTTTTAAAAGTGGACATAAATTAAATGTTTTAAATGTTGTCCAAAAATGGAAGATAAATTTTTGTTCAACTAAAGTTTAAATTTTTGGTATTTCAATAGGCGACGAAAGAAAAACTCTTAGCCAAGAAAAACTGAAAATAAATTTTCGGTCATTTGAAAAGTGGATAAATGCTGGTGATTCTTTGATAATACTAAATTTTAGCATAAACTTTTGGTACAACAAAAACTGGTTATATATTTAGTAGGTAGAATTATCCAGAAAATGTATACATTCTTTTTTCACTCAAACACTGGTTATATGTATAATTGATGCCAAGTAAAAGTAATATTTTGTTTTTGGACGATGAATAAAAATTATGAACCGTAAAAAGTAGACAACGACTCCTAAATTGTCAAAACTTTACCGATAATTAGACATAAATATCAATTTCTTCTCCTTCTGTTCAGTTTTTCGTGTTCAAAGCCTCACTCTTTGTACCCTCTCTTAAGTTGCTTTTTGTTTCTTAAAACAAAAAATGTTTTTTTTCATTATTTGACCCACCTCTAACGTTTTGAAATGCCATCGTATGTCTATCGTCGCTGTTGCGTCTGTATCATCGATGGCATTTGAGCGGCACAGTCGTAATGTTGGCCAGCATTGGCAGCGTTTATTGGTGATTTCGCAACCAGGCTCTATCACTATTGTCTCATCGTTTGTACAATTCGTATTGTATTTTCGGCTGTGATATGCGGCATGTAGGGAAAATGATGTTGAGGGTAGATCTGAAAGTATATAGAGGAAAAGAAAAAATAATAATAATTTAAGTGCTACGTAATTTTTTGATTCAAGGATATCGGAAATACAAACATAAATATAATTGGTAGGAAACGAATAATCTTTAATACTACTGATTTCTATCGGTGAAGTTGAACATCTATGTAGTTCTGCAGGATCGATAAGCCGCATAAAAAACAAAATGCACCGAGAACATCGTAATAGGAACAAAAGTTCGTTAGATATATTGAAAAACAGCCATTAGAGCAAATGTTTGAGGATCGATGAAGGTCAAGAGGGTCACCTACATATATGTTGAAAATCGTATGACATGATGTTTATCTTTATACATGCGTAGATTGCCATGAAATTGAGTGCTCAACTATGTACATCACCATGAAATCAAAAGAAGTATCGGATGACAAGATTGTAACGGGGAAAAAAATGCAGAAAACCCGGGATAAATCCCATGCATCATGGAACAGCTCGGATCACTCACAGCTTAGAAGTGGAAAATATCTGTACAGCATAAGGCAAGGTTCTCAAACTAAGACAACCCTTCACATGCACGTTCAATCCTACAATTATGACATCGGAATCTTCCTCAGCTTTCAGGTTTACTGAGGGACAGGACACGGATATCTCTCCGAATTTTATCATTTCTGCAGTGCAAGGAGCCTAACCCTTTCCCAACGGCACCAACGATTACCCTCTCTACCACCTGGCTGAAGGTGGTCCAGCTTCAGTTAGGGCTAAGTTAAGCTCTAGTTATTGCTCTGACATCCCAAACATACATATGTCCGGTTTGTAAAGGTTCCCCCACGACACCAACGACCTCTTCCCAGTCCAAGTAAACTCATTTGCTAACTTTAGCCTACAATCCCAAAACTCGTTTTCAAAGGGTTTTCGTTGTCGGTCAGAATAAGCTATTAGGAACGGTTCTTGTGAAGCATGCAAGTGTTTGCACTTCACTTTCAGTAAGTTAAATACGTAGAGACAACCAACTTTTATTGAATTGTCTATCTAAAAAAGGTATAAGCTAATTCCATTAAACGTTACAAAAGGTTGTAAGAAATATGTAGCATAGGTACTTAGCGTTAAAAAATTAACCCAGAGACTACGAAAATAGTAAAACCCCAGAAGTTCCTGTTTACAAATTTTTAAAACATAATTTCAGCAACTCAAAGTGACATTTTTATTCAATTTCGTGCATGAAAGCGTGCTTAAAAAAAAATGAAAAAGTTAAATAAAATACATGAAAAGACTCATTAAAGTCACTCAGGCTTAACTGCATTGCTTTGGGTACCCTCCTAAATAAGGATTAAAAAAAAAAACATTAGCTATTTTTAAAATTTAATAAGCCAAGTGCTGCATAAAGCTAGTCAGCGGGTGCAACAGCACACACACACACATACATGTACAAGCATTTATCTAACTATGATGATGATGTTACCTACCATATAACATAGAAAGTGCGCGTATTTGCCGCATATGCCGTGTGGCAGGCAACATACTACCAGCACAACCTTGACACACTTTTCCGCTGTCCCCAAGGTATACGCGAATAACAAATCTAGATTTAACTTTGTGTAATCGCTGCCGTTGCTTTTTTGGTTATTTTAATATTAGCACAAAATGTTGCTCGTCTTTTACAAGTAGTAAGCGTAGTAGTAGTAGTACAAGTAGTAGCACCACTGCTAGTTGTTGTTCTTATTGTTGTGCTGCTAATTCCCTTTATGACCGTTTTACATGGATGCTGTTGAAAATGCTTTTGGGCATCGCATAGATATACTTATGTACATAGTATGTATATATACGTGTATGCCTTTCCATGGGTAAGTAGACAATTCATTTTATACAAAATGCAATTTCGCTGCAATTTTATCTGTCCGCTTGCGTTTTTATGTGAAAGTGAGGGTCGTTGTGCCAGTTGGCTTATTATCTCTGCATGGAAATTTCACTTTATATAATCGCGAAATGCGTTTTTAAAATTTGGCTCAAAATGCTATATTTCTCTATTGCTATGTCTTCACTACAAAGGAATTTTTATAATACATAATATGGCTTTAAGATGTTATCTCTAGTAGGGTTGAAAAGAACTAGAACTCGAGGTCACACCATCGCTCACTTACATTAAAGAAAATTAAAAAGAATTTTTGTGAATGTTAATCTGATTCACTTCTACTCACTAAAACTTTAAAATTTCTTTTACAAAATTCTTAAAATGATGCCAGACGCAAAATCCTGTTTACCGGAAATATCAAGAAAGAGGGCCGAAGCACTCCTACACCTTACAGGCACGAAGTAAGAATTGATGATGGTCTTCATGAAGCGCTTACAAGTTTGTTTTTGTTGTTTTGTAGCGGCTACTCAAGTCCGCCTAGTTCTGCTCAGGTAAGAGTTAAACCTTCTGCAATATCCGGAGAGAAGTTGGGCTTTTGTGGTGCGAGTGTGCCAAGGCAGATGAGGCTCGGGTGGTTGTGTACCCAAAATGGATTTAAAGGTCGGAAGTCGATGTAGATTGAGATCGACTCCCTGTGAATGCCGATTATGGCCTGTCAGTATGCTGCCGGGTTCAGTGGTTGTTTTATGAACCTTCGGACTTCATCCGTCAGTTCGTATAGATGCCCTCTGATGTGTCTTGGCGAGGGACCCATTTTAGAGTCAGAAAAGTCTCAGAACTCTGAGTTTTAACCCTCATTATGATCTCAAAGGAGAGCCAGAAAGGAACATAATTCCCTTTTTAGAAGTGTACGCTAATACGGGTCCAAATTAGGAGTCATATTAGAGTCTGAAATGTGAAGCTTTTCTAAGCCTTGTAAACAAATCTATACTACGAGTAACATAACGTGCTCCGATATCTCCTCCTCTTCAAGACAAAGTCCGCTAACCATCTCGGTAGAGAGGCCAATACGTTGCATGTGAGAACGCAGGAAGTTATTATAGGTTAGATAACTAGTAAGCAACTAGATATTGATTATATTCAAAATATTTATGTCTTTCTTAGCAAAAGAATATTAAAAAATCCTAGCTTGTCTATAGCCATATACCGCTTCCCAGTCTTACAGGAACAGACTATGACCTTTTCCTAGGTGAACTTGCGACCTCGTTCGCACTACAATGTACAAATAATCTCTTAGTTTTTGGAACTTCGCCCTCAACCACATCGTGTATGGACGGGAAAGGAAAAGTTGCCCCTGCTGGCGATGCAAGGTAAGGTTAGGTTGGGCGGCAGTCCTAAGTACAACACATTTAGATTCAGGGTCCTTTCTGATAACGCATGAGGTTTTTCATTATCACCGTACCCTTGTAAACCACTTGGTTCTTAGCAAAAACGTGGCTTAGGCTTCAAGCGTTCACCGCTTTTCGATAATCGAGATCCTTGAAGAAATGGCTCCCGAGAGCTTTTGTTCTACGTTTTGATAGAGCCGAGCAATGTCAGAGAATATGCAGGATGGTTTCCTCTTCGCCTTTATCCATGCGGCTTCTGCAGTAGTCGTTTCAGGGTGCGCCCAGTCTAGGTGCATGTAATCGAATCAGATAATGTCCTGTGCGAACTCCAGTCACTATGCGAATATACTGCCTCCTTAGATTAAGTAGAATCTTGGTGCGTTGGGTATCTATGGCTGGCCAGAGTGTTTTGACAATGCGACAGGCCTCCATCTTTCATTGGAAACTTCTATGCATTTTTCATGCAGTAGAAGTTTGCATGTTTGAATAGGCATGCCGAGAGTATCCCATATATCTCTATCAGGCAATGTCGTTCCATGATGTACGAGTTCGTCAGCCTTGTAGTTGTCCCTGAATGTCGCAATGAGCAGCTACCTAGACACCACGTGTGCTGAACGACCCAGCTATCTCGTTGAGAGATCCGCGGCAATGCTCAACTACTTTTGAAGTCCGCGACATATTTCCAAGAGATTTAATTGCCACCTGGCTGTCAGTGAAAATGTAAATAACATGACTAGGAATCATATGACACTGTACCAGGGCTACGGTCTTTGAGATAGCTATCAGTTCTTGAGGGAAGAAGGGTCGCGAACCTGGTCTTGGAAGTGCGTGTGGGTGGGATGTAGTCGGCTGAAATACTTATTACTAAAAAAAAGTTTTGGAGTCACGAAATGGTCTTCTAAAGATAGACCACCCATTAACCCTGGTAAAGTGGAGCTCATCTCATTAAAAAAAGAATAGAGTCTGAGATGTTTTGCTCTCCACAATCGATATCGTGCTTTCCATGCCTATTGACAGGGTCGACTACTTGATCGGTATGCCAGAAATTACACTGAAGATGTCGCAACGCTGAAACCGGGTTTTTTTGTAAACCAAATTTGACGACCGAAAATTGTTCCAGGATACATTATTATTTTCTGTTGAAGAAGCGACATTGGCAAGGGGTATAAACTTTCGACACTATTGATGTTATATGAAGTTATTGTCTGAAGAACCTCGATAAAAAAGTTACAACTGATATCTAAAACAAGTACACCGTATCGACATATTTGTTTTAAAGGACACTTCTTTTCTTTAAATACGGCAATATTGTAGCAAGCTTTGACATTTGTACTTGACGGAGCAGATCGGAGCATGCTAAGGCTTGATGTTATGTTGGATGCTATGAATGGAGTGAGTTTATTTATAGGCGCCATATGCATTCTAATAGCCAGGTGACAATTAAGACCATAGGTTTATTAATAGTGCAGTTGAAGCTGTCAGCGGAATATAAAATTTCCTCACTTTAAATTTTGAGCACAGCGGCATTGTAGGAAATTGTATGGATGAGGAACGGACATTGCAGCGCACCCTCTTGTTTGATTTGCGGACTAGTCACTGATGAATGGGCTTAGAGTTCGTTTAGTGTGCGCTGAGCGAAAGTTTAAATGAGCTAACTGCTAACATCCTTTTTTCCGGTGGTAGTCCACCGACAGCAAGAGAGCTGACCAAGCATTAATGTCGATTCTGACCAGAGTCTCGAATAATAAATGCTCGATGTGAGACATACAGTAAGACT